GAATGTCGTTTACTGCGCCTCATGAGAACAGTGTGCCCTTATTACAGAACTCTATAAACGCCTTAAACCTCTTTATATTTGACATTTCAATTAACTGTATAAAATTTTGTGTTTGTGATTTACTAACGTCAATAGTACATTTCCTTTAAAACTTTCTGTTAGAGTAGAGCAATATAATAAAACATCAAAAGCCTTAATTTCATTCTTATAAGTAATTCCGCTCTATAACTACGCTCGTGCATGTACCTGCGATGAATACACAATGTTCAAGTTTTCTAAATATATATTTATGGCAGTGAAGGCACATCACGGAGATTATTTGACAAGGATATCCACCCTCGAACCCGCAGAGAGCTTGTCGTCTTCAATATGGAGAACATGTCACTTTGCGAATTATTTGTTCGCCTTTGCCATTAAATGGCGAGCTACCATTTTTAACAGGGCAACGTTAAGGATAGCTTTAATGTTAATAATCGACTATTTATTATTCGTTATGATTCCTTTATACAATCTGATCTTGTAAATACTGATACCAGTAAAGAGATGTGGTAGAATTAGTCGGTAGGTATTTGGCGCAAAAATTTTGTATGAAAAATTAACAGTTTAAGGCGCAAAATTATTTTTTTGCTAAACTGAGTTGAAAAGTGCATTTTTACACAAAAATATGTACACTAAGTAGTAAAAAAAAGTTGTTTTTATTTTTAGATGGTTGATTTTTCTGTGAAAATGTGGTAAGCCATTGTACCAGAGAGCATTAAAGGAAAAAAATCATGAAAGTTATCTGGTATACATGATATACCGAAACCATTCAATATAATTTATTATAAAAATACACTAAAAATACAAACAGTATTAAATTAAAACATTATCTAAATAAAACAATATATATTTTAAATTTCTTAAGTGTTATGGTATGCCCCAAAACATTTCACACATAAAGCTACATTTCCCAAAATCATTTCTGTTTATAGTTGTAGATCCTGGCCGTTTTCTGGCCTTACAATTTCCTATGAGCTGATCCGCTAATTTGCTCCTAAACTCCAGGTGGCTACAAGGCTTTTTTCGTGGATTGGTTTGTTTTAGATCCTCTCTATAAAGTATATAGGCATTCACAATACCTGCATATATAAAGTAATGTAGAAGCTTCACCCACCATCTTCTACTTTTCCAACAAATGGAATATGCTGTCATTCTTTGATCAAAGCGGTCAACAGCGCCTATATTTGTTGTAATCAACTATAGAATATGGACACTCAACAACTTCTCTCTCTCTCCTTTTTTCATATTACTACACACAGTAACTGCTTTTACATATCTTTCCTCTATATTTCCATTTGGTGATAGATGTCTCATCAGACACTGCAAAGTCTATTTGCCCCATCGCCAGCTTTTTGTCTTCCTTCAATTTCTCTTTTGGTACATATTTTCTAGATTGTCTGATTGTTCCGCAACCAAAAAAAGTCTCTCTTTTAATTTTTTCATAATTGGTATAGTAGTTCAGAAATTATCGACATAAATACAATATCCCTGACCAAAGAAATTTTAAAAGAACACGTTCTTTTAAAGTATCATTTGTCGTCGTTTTTTCTTTACTTTAGATAAATAAATAAATAACCAGTTTCTGAACAAGCCAAAGCCCAAATTTTTATTCCTCTCTTCATCGGCTTCATAGGCATATATTGTTTTAGGCTGGTACGCCCTTAAAAAGCAACCTTATACTACAATATTTCGGCTTGGTTTAAACGATCGGCATAATGTACTAGAGCAGTGTTCAATGAGTGGACGCACTTTCTACAGTTTATTATAAGCTGTGGATTCACGAGGCGGCATGTTGTGATTATCATTTAGGTGCAAAAGCCTGAGTACTTTTAAAAATCTTTCAAGAGGAAGTATTTCTGCTATTCTGTTATTGTAAAAATTAGGATTACGTGATCAATATTTGCGCAAGGTTGGTAATGTATTAATTAATTAATATAAAACACCAATAAATGCCTTAAACTCCACCACTGTTAAATCTGACTGATTCCCATTTTTTTCTGCATATAGATTTGATTGCTGAACAAAAAAGTTCATAAACTAGGTGTTAAAAGTTTTTCAAAACTGTATTCTTACATCGGCCGTAAAATTAAACTCATTGAACCTCTTAGGGGAGAAGGCAGTCTTGGTCCAAGAAGAAAATGGTTCAGTAGTTCATATTTTCTACCTCTTCATCCTCTTCTTCACTTCATGGGAAACCAGAGGAAGCTGTGAAGTAGGCATGAAATTTGAATCGTCCACTGAATCATCGGAATCCAAGTCACCTTCTATATTATACTCTGATAAATTCAAGTTAATCTTTCATTTTTGATGTAGCTGTGGTGTAAAAGTACCTGAGGATGTAGGTGTACGTAAAGATGATCTATTATTAGTTGTATCAGATACTTCGTCTAAATCATCATCAGCATCGGAATCTCCATTAACATCGGAGTTCTCGGCTTCTTGCTCATCAGTAATTTCCTCCAATTCTTTTAATAGTTCCGCTGCCGTTAAAGGCTTTTTTCAAAACCATGTTAAAAAACTTCGCTTTTATTCCATAATTTTTACCAATCCTGGAAAATAAATGCAAATATAAAAAAATTATTTATATTATTTTACCTATATTTATTTTTGTGAACCCTTTTTTAACCGCCTTAGGACGACACTGACAACTTATTAGTATTGAAGCTTTGTCATTTTATAGAAAAAGGTAACAGAAAGTATAAATACTTCAAGTTGATTAGCAATTTGACAAAATAAACAATCAAGTAGGTACCTATTTCTGTAAAATCTTACATAAAAATTTCAACTGGTTTTTGAAAAATGCAAAAATTTTCCTGGCGCAACAACAAAAGTTTCAAAGGCAAAACACAAATCTAAGGAATCTAGAGATACACTGTGTACTTGGAAATCGAAAACTGTTTTTTGTGTTTTTTAAATTTTTTGAAAAGAAAAATTATATTTTGTATAATTTTTTTCCCAAAAGAAAATTTCATTCAAATACCTCGTTTTTTTTTAAATTAAAATTTTTTGAAATATGCTTTTAAAAATGTACAGCTTAAACATATTTTAAATGAACTTACTTATGTTTAGGGAAAAACTTTGACTAAATTTAGAAACAACAGCCAGAAATAAACAACAAACAAACAAAGTGTACAAAACTGTTGTCTAACTGTTCTTTGGACAGATGTAACAGAAGATCTTTATCTTCTATTGCATCCGTCGTTGGCGCATATACTTGGATCAGATTTAGTTTTGTATATAATGTCCCTATTTGTAGTAGTATCACTCTTTCTGAGATTGGGACAAAACCCTCTATTGCCTTGTTGACCTCTGTATCGAGAATAATTGCTACTTCACGTCTATGCTGGTTGTCAATGTTTCTCGAGTAATATAAGGTACCGGTTTTCGTCGAAAGATATCCTGAGTTAGGCCACCATGTTTCGCTGATTGTCACTGATAGCACCAGCTATCAAACTTTTCTATAAAAATAGTTTTGGCCTTATCCTGGTTCTTTTCAGCTTCCTTTGCTATTTTGTAGCGTTTTAAATTTTCATATTTAATATCTATATAATAGTATAAATTCTGTTTTAAATTTTGTATTCAGTTGTTTCAAAATATAGAGGTTTTTGTCTCTGTTACATTGTCAGGTAGAAAATTATTCACGTTAAAACTAGGGACGTTAAAATAATCGATAAAATGCGTGTTGTTTATTCTCTGTATGTATATTTCAAGATTTTTTTTGTCGTTGTTAGAACGAGGTCAGGAGGGGTATTATTGTTTGTTTAGGTTTTGTAGGCTCAACTTTGAAAAGAATTTGAATTGCGTTTAGTTAGTGAAGTAAGCTAGATCAACCGAACGAGGTAGGAGTCAAGCCAGAGCATTTAAACGAGGTAGAATGTTGGGGCGATTTTGAATCAAGAGTCGATTCATTTTTTTTGTGTTATGTCTTAAGACCGGTTAAGGTTATAATACTCTTTGCATTCATGGCATCTCAGACAGAGTATCAACCGAAAGATTTATGCAGTGTACCGGAAACTAATGGAATTTTTGAAGATTAATATATAGGATGTCTTCATCAGTCTTTTTTTTTGTTTTTGGCTTGATTCGACCCCATTCACGTCTTAGATCGTCGTTTCTGAATATGGAAATGGTTTCCTTTTGTTCCAGTTTTGAGAATATGTCCAGATAGATACTCCAGAGATGTAACAAGTTTTTTTTTAGTGCAATATGTGAAATAAGGTAACATTCAATATATCAATTTTTCCAAGTAAAATAGACAATATTTTTAATAATTGCTTTCATTATTAAAAATTTGTAATAATTTTTAAAGTTTTAAATATAAATATTAAGTTTTATATTATGTTAGAGTCGTAGCTAAAAAATGTCATAATTGATTCTGTCTTAAAATGTTATGTTGACATATGACATAAGCAGCCTTTATGGTAGTCCAACATGTTTCCATATTGGCCATTGCGATTCCCAATTTAGTTGTTTAATATTACGTACAGAATCTATTTTCTCGATTTTACTTTTTCAATCTTAGAATTTGGAAATATTTTTCTTCTACTAGACATCTATTTTATCTACAAAGCTATGGTGTCTGGGCTCCCATAACCTTGTGTGAATTGTATATTTATTGAAGATAAAATAGTAAATGTGTATTTTTAATAGTGACTTTTTCATTAAAATTATCTGATATACAAACTGTCAACACACACTTAACTTAACAGTGGCATTAGAATAATACAAATACAATGTGAAAACCCTATTAATACTAAATTTCAGCAGTCTTGACTTCATGCGACATCATTTTTTTTTTTATTAAAATAAGAAATAAATAAAAACTGTAAGATTTCCGTGCCGTTCCTGACATTAATTGTGCTAATAATAGTGGCAACTAACTACTGGAGCTAAATTTTATCTGTTAAATAACAGCGTACACAGGTTTTAGCAGTCTCATTATTATGTCGCCCTTGTTTCAGCGGTTGTGGAAGAACCCGAGTTCACCGATGTTATCCAGAACATCACCGTAGCTGCAGGCAGGAACATCAGATTTGCTTGCGCAGTAAAGAATTTACAAATGTACAAGGTAAGTCAACATGACTACTTATTTGATTTTCGCTACGGTCCCCTTCTATGTTTCAAGAGATAAACTATGGCATGGCACTTGTTTAAGACCCTTTTCATGTTTAATAAAATACATTTTATACAGGGTGGTTCGTTAGTTTTGTGTCTTCTGTTGAATATTTTGGCTTATTACTATTAGAAATTAACTAAAATTATTCTCGTAAATTTTAAACTAAATTAATATTTATTTATTTATTGATAATTAACCTACTATCAAAATTCTAAAAGAATGCAAACGAAACTTTAAACCTTACTCCAGTAAATGTCCGTTTTGGACTGTAATTTTTCTCGTTATGGCGGATTTGCTTGTCTGTTTACCTTCTACTTGACTCTTGGACTCAAGCTCACAGTTGCCTTTACTTGGAAGGTGAAAGTCACCCCTTCTCGGGGGTGGAAAAACGTACGTTCATAATAAGTCCGGAAATGGACTAATTCTTAGTAACTTTTATTCGATAGTGTTTTTTCACTAAGTCAACACTTTTAAAGTTATTTGCGAATGAACATGTTCATTTTTCAAAATAAAACCTCGTTTTCAAACGGTTTTTCATAAATAACTTTAAGAGTAAGTATTTATCGAAAAATATTTCAAACATTTTAAAATGTAGCTTATCAAAAAACCAAAAAAAATGCTGTACTAATGAAGTCTGTAGACCCAGTACCCTACATCTTAACTACAGGCCGATAAGCTTACTGCCAGCAGTCTGCAAGATCGTAGAAAGTGTAATACTAAGAAGACTATAAGCTGAAACTTAAGAAATAGGACTAGTTCATATTTTCTACTTGTTTCCGTTATTTTGTTTATTAAGTTTTGCAGCCCTTCTATGGTATTCGAAAACACTGTTGTATCCTCTGCATACCGCAGGTTATTTAGCTTGACTCCATTTATTGAAACGCCTTCATCAATATCTTTCAGAGCCTCTTCAAAAATGTGGTCCGAGTACAGATTAAATATCAGTGGTGAAATTATGCACCCCTGTCTCACTCCTCTTAAGATTTTGATCTGATCTGAATATTCTCCATCTATTTGGAGCACCGTTGATTGATTCCAATACAGGTTAGCTATTATTTTTAAATATTTTCCGTCAATCCCTGTCCTCTTCAGTACTTCCATCATTTGTTCATGCCTGACCCTATCAAAAGTCTTCTTGTAGTCAATGAAGCATGGAAAAACATTACAGCTGACATCTCTATATTTCTGAAACAATACCTGCACGGTAAATAAAGCTTCCCTCGTATCAACGGCGTTCACAAATCCAAACTGATTGGGCGCAATTTGTTCCTGGCATTTCCGGTAAATTCTTCTTTGGTTATTGCAAGATTGCTTTCATCACCTGTTATTTTTCCGCTGTTGCGTTTTCAGAACTTTCCAGCTATGTCCTTCACCTTTCGATGAACATTGAAGTTATCATATCAACTCTGATACTTTTCTATTTCTTGACATTGCTCTGCTCTTTTTTGTTTCTCTTTGGCTTCTCTTATTTTTCTTCTGACGATGGTATGTCTTCTCTTATATTCTTGGAGATTTTCTTTGTTTTTTTTTCTCTGATTTATAAGTTCAAGTATTTCATCGGTCATTCACGATTTCCGTTTCTCTTTAGCTTTCTTCAGGTGGTGTTTTTTTTTTCTTTCACTGTTTCTTGTATGATGGTCAGACTTTTAACAGCATACTTCTTCATCGACTTACTTTTAACCTTCTTCATTCTGACTTAACTACAACTACCTACAACTGATATACAGATTGAACGAAATAAATTCGGAACATAGGAATATAATGTATTTCGGCTCAATTCTGCTGTAGGTGGTTGGCCAACAAAATATTGTCAAATAATTATATTATAAAAATCCAATACTTCAGCGGGCTGCTGGATTCTGAACTCATAAAAATTGAAAGCTACACATAAATCTACGATTTATGCTGTCAAACCAGTTATAGTCCAGGAAATGAAATTTTTTTTTACGTTTTAACTACAGGTTTCGATTAAAAAAGTGATTCTAAACAAAAAATGTGCTATACATTTTTTTTATAAAATGATATTTTTCAAGTTATCCGCGATTGAAAGTAATAACTTTTAGACGAAAAAATCCACGTTTTTAATCGATTTTTCGCGAATAATTCGAAAATGGTGCATTTTATCAAAAAAATTGTAGAGAACAAATTTGTAGCTTTTAAAAAGACAAATACAATTCATTTTTTAAAATGTTTTTGGGATATAATAGGAACCGAAATACGGCCTATCAATGTTCAGCGGTTTTCTTCAAATGCCAAATTTGAAAGATTCAAAATCAAATATCGGGAAAATGATGCATTTTTGGAAGAAAACTCACAAAACCTTTTTTAAAGAGCATAAATAGACCTATCATAAAAAAGACTCTAGCTCAAAAATTGAGTGAGTTATGATGAAAATAAGGTCAATACCTCATTTTTTACGAAAAAATCGAAACAACACCCTAACCTCCTCCATAATTAAAATCGATCTTTACCCTTCTGCAATTCCCTTTGTACATGTATTGTTAACACGTCCAAGAAGTTTGACCCATTTAAAATGCTTTGTGTTAGAAAAAGTACAGCTTAAAGCGAGAAACGATTTACAATTTCATATTTTTTACCCTTCTTTTTTTAAATATGCCCGAAAATACTGAATATATGAAAAAAATACAAATTACCAAATTGTAGCTTTTTTAATGACTAAAATTAACCTTCATTTAGATTTGTTGTACAATGAATATTTGGCGAGATATAGCCGTTTAAAGCATCGATTTACGATCAAGCATCATCTTTTTCGAGCCCTTTAAACTCACCCCATTTAAAAACCAAGTGTTCCAAAAAGATTTAATTCACAGATCCTTGTAGCTCTTAAAAACCTCTACAAATCGTTTTTGAAGAAACACTCTATCGTTAAAAATTAAAAGAAATACGTTAAAAAACCAGTGAATTTTTTTCCGGAAAATTCTATTAGTATAGTACAGTACATTTCGGAGCATAATAATCTACAAAACCGGTATATTAGCTAGTGGGGCGTTATACATTCGAAATTTTAAGCGTTCTTATTTTGAAATCCCATACAACAGAATAAAACATCTGCTCATATGTCTATGGCTTGGCAATGAAAATATTAGAGCAACAGATTGGGGATGGTATTCCAAAGATGGTTTGTTATTACCCGTGAAAATTATTTTTTGGCAATGCAAAAAAGGATTCGGTGTTTCATGTGGGTGCAGAAAAGTTGGTTTATACTGTAACTCTACTTGTTCTGGGTGCTCAGGTGAAGGGTGCAATAATAGTCCACCAATAATTGAAGATGAGGATGACATAGATCACGATGAAGATGTAATTGATGACGAATAAAATTAATATTATAATTGTTTTACCTATAAATGTAAATATTTTCTACTATTTATGTAAATGTATAAGAATATATGGTGCCTTTTTATGTTGATAATTTTTTTTGTATTTAATTCTACTTTTTTCAATTTATATCTTATAAATTAGTTTATAAAAACTGATTTTTTGGGGTAAATCAAACAATTGATTTTTAAGGGTTGAAAATGTATGAATTTGTATTTTAAAGTATAAAAAAATCAATATTTAACTAATCCAAACCAAATTTCAATCATCTTAAGATTTATAATATTATTTTACAATTTTTGAAAATTAGGGGTAGTTTTCATCCTAAGAACAATCAGGGTTCATCGGCATGACATAAACTATAAAGCAGAGGGTGAGTTGAGCTCAAGTCCAAATTTTTATGCAAATCGTTCCAAGGTGAAATCATTTTCTTCGCATTACTAATTTTTTATATTAATCTCTAATAAGGGTCGCTTTTTAAGGGTTGAAATATGATGGAACTTTATTCAAAAGCACGAAACTATCATTATTTAATTAATTCAAACCAAATTTTACCCATATTCAGGTTTAATATGTTATTTTATAATTTTTGACAATTACGGGTAGTTTTCACCCCTTAGAACAATCAGGGTTCGTCGACATGACATAAACTATAAAGCAGCGGGTGAATTGAGCTTAAATCCAAATTTTTATCCAAATCGATCCAAGGCGAAATCATTTTTTTAGAATTAGTAATTTTTTTACATTAATCTCTAACAAGGGTTGCTTTTTAAGGGTTGAAATATGATGGAACTCTATTCAAAAGTATAAAATAATCATTATTTAACTAATTCAAACCAAATCTTACCCATATTCAGGTTTAATATGTTATTTTATAGTTTTTGACAATTAGGGGTAGTTTTCACCCCTAAAACCCTTCAGCGCACTTCGGTTCGATATAAATTTTGATCCTTGGGCTATCACCTACCTTCTGTTAAAATTTCAACTGGATACATGCAGGACAAAAAAATTGCGAGGTTTTAACTTTTTTCGAGATTCATTTCCTGAACTATTATCGATTCCTTAGACAAACCCGTCTTACGCAAACAACATTGTTGTGAGACAGATAGTTGAACGATATTTTATACAATGTATACCCAGGTATGGATTTATTTTTGTCCAAGTTTTATATTGGTCGACTATTTCAAATGCAGTTCAAACAGACATGTATTAAATTGTATGTTCCGTTTTAATTTGGTTCAATCTGTAAAAAACAGTACACAAGGGCAGCGTAGGAGTGCAGCGATGTAAGCAAAACCTTCAACAAAGTCTGGTATAAAGGCCTAATATACAAAATGAGAGGCTACGGATTCAGTGAGACCATGACGAGACTAATCTCTTCGTACTTGAGCAACCGAAACTTCAGGATACGAATAGGACAAGTACTATACGAGCATAGAGCTCCGGAGGCTGGATTGCCACAGGGAGCAGTCCTGTTACTCCTACTGTACATAATATACACCGCAAATGTTACAAGAACCGCAGGAACACTACTCAGCCTTTATGCAGACGACACAGCGATTGCGGCCAAACACAGAAACTTAGAAGTAGCGGTCAACAATCTACATACAGCATTG